GCATGCACACGCGCCCGGCGTGAGTTTTAAGCCACCGGGTCCAGGACGCGAACCGCGGTCGATGACGTGGGAGTCCAGTGACATAGCCATTACGCTAACTGCTGGTTCCCCTCTCTCTCATAAAGTTTTACCGGAGGGGCCCAGCGGGAGGACGACTTGCTGTGCTGAGCTGAAGGGTCCTCCCTGGGAGGTCAGCAGCCATAACCCTGACTGTCCCACGGGCCCACGTGTCTCACTGCTGTCAAGGATGCCTCTTCTTTGTACCCAACTGAAGGGTTCTAGTCAAATGTCTAGAGTAGGTGGATTAGGAAGGAAACAAACAAAAACTTCAAAATTCTAAAAAAAAAAAAAAAAAAAAAAAAAAGAGAGAGAGAGAGAGAGAACAACCCCGAAGGAAGGCAGGGAGAGAAACAGGAACGGAGAGCGGAGGAAGAAAGGAAGAGAAAGGAAGAAAAGCAGCCTAGCACCGCAGAACCACCCTGCGCGCATTATGGGCTATAAACGCAGTCGCAGTTCACCGGAACTGCATTGCCTGGGGAAGACTTCACTTCCAGCCACGGCGCTGTCATCGAACAAATGCCTCCTGGAAACCTCATGGGCCTCTCTGGGCCAGGCGCCACAGGTACCATTTTTGGAGACTGGGTCATCGCAGCACACCTGGTCACTGGACCAGCCCTCTGTGCACATCCTGGGCCATTTCCTTCCCTCCCCTGCCCCGCAGTCCCCTCCGGGCCGCCTCTCTCTGGCCACTCCTCTCCCCTCTGTGCCACCCCCAGCTCCGACCTCTACACCTGCTTACCCTCTCCTTCTGGCCCCTCATACAACCTGAACTCCTGGCCTCCAGGTCCTCAACTCTCCAGCCCCCCTCAGCCCGAGGGAGTTCTGACTACCCAGAGCTGGCCCTGCCCCACCCCTGCCCAGAGCCCTCTACTGTCCCAGCCCCCGGGCTGCCCAGCCTTCTCCACCATGCTCCGACCCTGCACTCACCCTCCAATACACTGGGCTCGGCGCGTCTGGGACACGGTTCTGGCCGCCCCCTCCTTCCCTAACATCCTAAGCTCCCCCTCTTTGCCAGGAAAGGCCCCCTTTTCTTTGGGCTAGGAAGGGTCTCTTCAAGCCTGCCAGTGTCCCCTTCGGTGCAGGGATCACAGAGGCGCGATGCAACCCTGGGGTTTTCAAGCGAAGGGCTTGCTGTGTCCAACTCAGCAGACCCAGCACCGCCCAGCACCGCCCAGTACAGGCCTGCATGCGCCCAGCGGAAACACCGATGGCAAGTCAGGGAAGGGATGGGCAGGGGGCCCAGCAAGGAGGGAGAGACGTGGACAGAAGCAGAGGCCGGGGCCCACCACGCCACCTGCAGGGAGTAGTGGAGGCCAGAGCAGGCTGGGTGCAACTGGAGGTTCTGGAAGGGCTGGATCCGGGGCTGGCCCCAGCCCTTCTTCTCCGTCCACTCCACCAGCAGCATGTGGTCGGTGAACGTCTTCCCGAACAGCAGCGGCTCGCTGGGACCGGGCTTCTTCTGCGGCTCCTGCGTCATGTGCAGCTGCAGGTCTGCAGCCTGAGGGGACAGGGCACCGGTGTCCTGGTAACTACAGCTCCCCAACCCCCTGGGCCTCAGACCCCCTAGAGAAGAGGGACCTGCAGCCTCAGAGGCTTTGGGGCCTAACGGCAGGCTGGTGGGTCACACAGCCCCACCCCACCACCCACCTGCACCTCTAGACTGGGGACCTTGGAGAGATGCCCAAATCTAGCCACCAGCCCTCCTCCCTGGACTCTGAAGCCCTGACCCCTGACCCCTGCCCCCGCCCAGATCCAGGGTACCGTCCCCTCCTTTCACCTTGAAGCTGGCAGAGGTGCATCTCCTGGGGCCACACAGAACCCAAGGGACAGGGAGAAGTTTCCGGGCCCAGATCTGGGAGGGGAGAGAGAGAGGTAGTGAGGGTGCGCTGGGAGAGAGCAGGGCTTTCAGTCTGGGAGCCCCTCTGCCCTGCCGTGCAGCCCCAGCGCCGCTTGCTGCTCGTGCAGGAAGAGCCCTGGCCCTGGGGGAGCCCTGGCCCTGGCCCGCCTCTG